AGTGCGAGAGTGAATAATTGATTGTATGGTAATAGGCCATTTGCACTAAGAGGTCATCTGACGTCGTTTTTAGGAAAATGAAATTATATTATTTTGCCTTCGAAAAACGATTAGTGGGTCATATCTTAAACAAAATAACTGAAATAATAGTGATTTGTTTTTTCAAACCCGCGCCATTTTCTTAAAATGAGTAAGTTCGTAGCTGGTCACGCGACCAAAATGTGATTTTTTTAAAATTATGAATTACCTCTGTCTGAACACAGATTTTGCTCTTAAACTTTAAGGAAAATGTTGAAAAAAAATGATGTGGTAACGTTTACAGCACATCCTGAGCGTAACTATCAAACGTTTAACAAGATATAAGCAAAAGGTAGTTTTGGCCGCCATGTTGGAGGGCAAGAGTATGCCTTCCAACATGGCGGCCAATACAAATCATACTACTTCGTTGAAAAAAAATCAAAGTCCCATAAAATATCTCCCTTAAATGCGTCTCCTCTCAAATTTAGGGTGTAAGATAATTTTTATATTCTTTGTCAATTTTTGGCATCAGCAAGATTCCAACTGATTGTTTAAAGGAAGCATTGGTCACATGACCTCTTAGTGCAAGTGGCCTATTGAGGTTGCTAATTAAAATTCAAGTGTCTTGATCAGTGTTTTCATCTGTTTTTGAACTAACCGGAGTAATCTTGATCTAGATTTTCATTGGGTATCAAGATACATCCAGCTGACCAAAATGGGGCACTCCGATTGGCTTATAACCGTATGAATAATTAATGAGTTTGAGAAGTCTTTTTAGTTGCCATTACAAAATCGCTTTACCTAATGAAAATAATGAGGGTTCTGGCGGAGCTCTCGAACGCGCGAAGCGAGCGCGGAGGAGCACCATGGATAGAAAAATTTGTTTATCTAACGGTTGATTTCCACTGCTGCGTAATTTTAACGTGTACATTTTACGGGCCTAAATGAAATAGAGGCAGCTTCTAGGCCGATTTAGACGGTGCAATTTTTGCTTTACGACTATCGTGCGTGATTAGCATACGTCATGACTTCACGACAGATCGTGTTGTGTAAATTTGACCCACGACATTCGTCGTAAGTGAAAATTTTGCGCGTATGGATGGTCGAAAGTCTTGACGTATGCTAGTCGCGCACGATAGTCGTAAGCAAAAATTGTACTGTCTACAAAATCGGCCTTAAGTCAGACTTGAACCGGTTTAGAGTTTTGAGGGGATCTCTCAATATTTTTTTTTCCTGGGGTAAATTTTTTCCTGGGGTAAATTTTTTTTTCACAATTTTTTTTTGCTTGGTTCTGATGAGGCTATTGCTTGGTATACAATTGTTATGATTTAAAGGGAACATCAGCAGCTAAATCGTCTGATGACGATGTTTTGCAAATATAAAGGCCCTCAAGAAGAAAATTTCTTTAACCCTTCTTACAACGTAGCAATGTTCCTTCCGATTTAATTTCCTTACTTTTAAACTACTTTGCAGCGCTGCTATTTTTCGGTTTTTCTTTTTCATTGACTAGGTGATGTCAAAAGATTCCAGGTAATGCTTTAATCAAATTAACAGATAGAGGTTAGTTCCCGTTGTGTTTGGAAGCAGATTTTTTTAAAAGGTTTATCAAACAAAGTTAATGAAAATGATTTTTTATAAGCAAACTTATAACATATCTTGTGGTCACTGGCTTTGTTCTCGTTGTTTCGTATCTTTCTCCCTTGTGATTTTACAATAGACTTGAACAGAATGCATTTGGAAGTAATGAATTGCTTTAAGCTGCTAACACACAGTTTAACAAAATTTGTTGTTCATAATTATTTTGTTCAAGGAATGTCTCACGATATAGCAGTGTGCTGACAGTGCTGCGTTTTGTTGGATAAAGACATAATTGTCGACAAAAAAGCGAGTGGGAGCGTAGCCCAGGGTGGGTACTCCCATATATGGGCTAGATAAGTATGTGCTGCCCGATAGGGTATAGCATTTGAGGGTCTTGAACCTTAAATAGGGTATTTTTTTTTGCCCTTGATAACATTGCGTTCACGGTTTGATCCTTTTAAGACAGGGTACCTAAATTGTTAGAAGTATCAGCTGAAATTCAAGTGCGTAACAGCCAGATGAAGAAAAAAAAAAGATCATAAGTGTTAAAACTGAACAAGAATAGAATACAACTAGAGCGATTTCATAAGGAATTATGTGCTGCCGTTAGATTTTCTTAATTTTTGATTTTCTCTGAATAGGGTGTCATTTTTTGGTTTAAGCCTTGAACAGGGTATAAATTTTCGTTTGTCTTATTCTTAAATAGGGTCAGGGTTTGAGACCATGGGCGGCACACCGTCACGCCTATCCCACAAAATTCAAATCCTAGGAGCCGTTATAATATTTTCTTTCAGTATAGGTCTGGCCCTGAGGAAGGCTGACTTTGCTTTCAGATAAATCAGCCCTTTACCGTATTGCCAGCCGCCCTTGCATTCAGTTTTGTTTTAATTCCCACTTCAAGTGACGTCTGGCTCTAGCATCTTTACATTAGAGACCCAGCACGAAAAAAAAAAAAACAGTCGGCTTTACTAACTCGTTGACTGGACGACTGCATTCAGTGCATTTTAGTTTTGTTTTTACCAATCCGAAATTTATAGGAGTATTCCCCGGCCGGGGGAAGGGAGCCGTCAAAACGTTTTGTTTGTGAGGCCCTTTGCCTCGTGCTTCCCCAAGTCTACCTTAAGTCCGGCTTCTCCTCCAGCATTTTTTGCAGACTCTCCAATATGTTCTTGAAAACGAATGTACAGTATCTCTTCAACTCAATCAATTTAGCTCCTTACAATTAACTTAACAAGACGAGTTGAATTTGGTTCCCTGTTATGGCGCATCGCTCAAGCCTCTTTTATTTTGACTAGGCAGAGAAGCATGTGAAACGAGGGATACTTACCATTTACACAAACCACCCGAGTGAAAATCTTGTGCAGAAACATAAAACTATAAAATTTGACGTGGTGGGAGAACTGCCCACTAAAAAGTATACCCAAAACAAAGTATCCCCCCGCTGAAGTATACCCAAATCAGCTGAACAGACCAAAAAGAGTAGAAAAATTGCATCAACTCAAATCATAGGCCATATTTTCTTTAGCTTCCCAAACGAAATGGCGCGAACAATTTGATTTTCCAACCGGATTTCTGTTTTTCCTATGCAAATGGCAAGTACCCTTAGGTTTCCTTTAAATTCGAAAATGATTCAGCAAATACACTACTGATTCGATTGCCCTGAGAAAAGCACTTAAATATTTTGCCTTCATTTACTGGCCATAACGCTAGTAACGCATGTGAAGTATATGAAGTAATTCATTTTTGAACTGCGGTTGTAGATGAAAGTGAAGAATGATAATCGCAGTAAATTTTCCAATTTAAGCAATTGGAAAGAAGAAGCCTGAAAAAAATCAGGACCTCAACGGGATTCGAACCCGTGACCTCCACGTTGCCGGTGCGTTGCTCTATCAACTGAGCTATGAAGCCACACCTTGGGAGCAAGGTCAATTTATTGAGTTCATATCTCCCGTGAGGAGTGAAATGATGTGAAGTATATATATGAAATAATTCATTTTTGAACTGCGGTTGTAGATGAAAGTGAAGAATGATCATCGAGGTTTGTTTGCTTTCTCTGATCTGTCATGGAATCAACAAATTGATCCAATAGCAGAACGGGCTAAAATGAGTATTGGGATTAGTAAAAAGATCCTAGAGGATTTCAAGGACGTTTGATATCGTGAAAACATTGTACTATGGTCTTGTTAGGCCATTGTTAGAATACTCATGCAAAATTTAGTATCTTTACACTCAATGGAATAATGACAGATTGGAAGCTGCCCCGAACAACGAAGAGAATCTCTAAGTCTGATGATATATGTTCATATGAAGCTAGAATTTCTGTCTTTATCTTACAGTGTAGGAGTTTTACCAAACGGAGACATTTCTGAAAAGCTTGTATTTTGCAACGAAAGAAAGATCTGGTATTTCAGAAATTACAGAAAGAACGAATCTCACAATTTGCTTTGATTGATTAAAATATAGTGTTTTATTTGTATATCAATTAATGAAAAGAATAGGTACCTTACCATGTCAGAGAGAGTAATGGTATCTCTCCTTTTAAAAAAATAATTTCTACATCTAGCCGATTTTTTGAAAACCAGCCTAAAGAAATTTGCAGTCGTTCGAGTGAAAAGGCGTCAAAAGGTAGTTTTGGGGGGCCTAATAAGGCCCAAAATCCCACTAACGAAAGGAAAGGAAAGGAGAAAAATTAAAAAAAACGAGGAGGAAAAAAGCAATGTTTGCACTCTTAGCTTTTATGATGGCTACTTTGGATAGTTTTTGGCCAAAAAAACCTTTTGTAAAGAAAAGGTCCATTTGGCGGTAAAGTTTTCAAAACTCCGCCTAGATATGCATATAGAAAAATATTTATTTACTTATCCTAGTTTCTCAGTTTATTAGTTGGTTCTTTGCCGCTTTTGGTGTTCTACAATTTCGTAGTTAGTTGATATTTTGTTTGTACGAGAGATTAAAAGGGTAATATTGGGTGCCGTAGAAAGACCAATGGCGACGTTGTGTTAGCTTTGGAATGCTCTATGTGTGCTCGAGAAGTAACGTCTAAATTACTTTTAAAAAAGCTGTTTTGTAACTATCTATGTGCTTACAGTGTTTTTATTCTCGTCGTTGTCGTTTTGTTCAATACTGCTCAAAAATATTCGATTTATTAGGCATTGCTTATTTCAATTAAAGTGGTTAATTGAAATTCAGGCACCTGTCCACAAATTTTTTAGAAGATCTGCGGAAACCAAGGAAACACATTTTAATGAGAGAGAGAGGTAGATAATGCATCGACCGCGAACCGATGTTATTCATCGAAAAAGTGCATTGCTGACTTTCTCCTGAAGTTTACTCAAGCAGAAGATGTAGAAGAGAAAGAGATATTTTTTTTTCACTCAAAAGCGCTGTAGAAGAACAAAACTGCGCAAATGGTGAAAATAGTGCAACATGCACGAGATGAAGAGGAAGGGTATATAGAGATGGAAGACCAAAGCGGTCAGGAAAACAAAGAAGAAGGCCTCCACGACAAGATAGGTAATAAGCAATTAGAAAGAAATTAGAGAGAAAAATTGTGAAAAAAGAAGAAGAACGCAGATTCCTAAGGGTCGTGAAGGGCAGAAAAATGCGCATTTGACATTTAACCCCCTCCTCCGTATACTTCGTATAGCATATTTTCCGAATTAAAAAAAGGCAATAATTATAATTCGAATGTAAGTTGCTGAAAATCAAATAAATTAGAAATCATTTTGCCTGAAAGGGTTGTTTTGCTATCAATTGTATCGAAAAATATAGCTGCAAATTTCCTTTTCAAATAACTGCGTAAGCAATTCACAAAAGGCTTTGAATTTTACACAGCAATTTTATTTATCATTTCTTAAGGTCGTTTCACATTACGGATTGGCAATCTAGTTATCGGACCCTGCATCACTTGTTTTAATGCACCTTTCCGCTGTTTTGAACAGGTTATTATTTTCGGGTGGAGTCTCCCCCGTATAAGCCATTATTATAGTCCCGCGATTAGTTTCCCCTGGATCTCCGAGGAACATAAAATTTAAATTTAGAGACAAAACGTACAGGTGACAAAAATTTGGTCTTATCAACCCAGTTAACAAAGACGATTTGTTTTTCCCATGCAAATGCACTACTAGAACTGATGTTGAGCTAAAAGTAAAAGGTAAAAACTAACTACATTTCGAACTCTCCAAGGATATTTTCGTGTACGTGAGCGTAGAAACACAAAATTATCATAAATATATTACAAAATTGTAAATGGCCTTATTTTAAAATATAATTTAGTATAGTATTATTCTAACTTATATTACTATTGTATTTTATCGTGTATCTTTAAATACTTTTTCACTGTAACTTAGGATATGTATTTTTATCCTTTGGTTGAATAAAGACTATTATATTATTTATTATTTATTTAAAAGCAGATAAAAATGGCATGAAAGCTAACTTGCAATAAAGTATGCCAATGATAAGTAATAAACATTTTTAAAAAAGTGCAGAACAAATTTGGCTGCCCTGCCTATTTCGAAATGCTTTTAAACAAAGAACTGAAACAAACAGTGACCAAACAGTGCGGTTCCATTCGCGCAAAATTTTTCATTTAGATCGCTTTTCAATTAGTCTTATTATTGCTTCATTGTTTTGTGTCTTTTTCAAACTTCAAAAATATTTTATCACTTACTATTAATATAATCTATCGCATTTTAGCGTCCATGACATTCCTGTCTGTTTTTAAGTATTCTCAATTGTTTGTAATACTATGCTAAATCACATCTGAAAACACAGTGATGTGGTGACTAACGCTGTGAACTTAGTACGCATTTTTACATCAAATTGGAGTTTCTTAGAGGTAAGCACTAACCGTAACAAGACGCTTTTAAAGCGTCAACTTGAGCTTCCTTAGAGATAAGATAAAAATGAGGAGGCAATTAATTGATTTGGATTAATAAGGGGCTGAGTGCGGGCATGGAGGGCAGGTGGGAAAGAAGAAAAAAAAACTGCTAGCAAGGTAGGTTATACAGAACCATAAACTACCCCTTCACTGGTGGATTGAAAACAAAATGCGAATATCCTAAGCACTTTCGTGTTGATCTTTTAAAGATTTGCCGCCAACTTGAAGGGACTGTTTGCATATGATTATAGAACCGCGCTTGACCTTTAGTCAAGCATATCATTCTGGCGTAATAACGTAGAAGCTCAGGACTCGAGACCTTTATTATAACTATGAATATTTGTCTGTGACGGTGCAAGAAAATCTGTCATTCCACATACAGAGGTGCTCGGTGACTCGACCATTATTTTTAAAGTGATGTGTGTGGAGTCTTTCAAAGGTAGATTTTAAATGATGGTCACCATCGATTGTATTGTGAAGTTCACTTCTATTTTTGAAAGATTGCATCCAAAGAAATTGAGTTCAGTCAAGTGACTAGCAAGTGAAATAATTGAGTAACAGATGAAATGAATAGCTGTTGCAATACAGTTGCTTTTGAAATTGTTGATCTGATGATGCATCATTCAAATATTTTACGTTGGTGCTTGTTGTTATGTCTTATTTTGTAATTTTAAAACCTTTAATTAATTCATAGATTTAACAGTTATTTCAAAGCTTTATAGAAGTATTGCAATAAGTCGTCGTGAGATTATACAGTGGAACCTCGATATAACGATCGAACCTCTATATAACGAAGTCCTCGGTATAACGAACGATTTTCTTTACCCCAGTAGTAATAAAACATATGAAAAAGGAACCTCGATATAACGAAACCTCTTTGTAGTGAACAAATTTTGCCAGTCCATTGGCCGTTCGTCATTTGTTACATCGAAGTTCCACTGTATAACTACTGAGGGTGACTCTTACCATAAATCTATCTTTGGCCGTCAAAACAAATGATCTGTATTGCCCCTTTTTTGTTTGTATAATTTTGATTCGATTTAATTTATTTTTTTCTCACTAGAATTTGAAAAATCGTTGAGAAAAACTTTGAGGGAGGGTGATGTTGAGGATATCACTGACGAGCTCACACCGCGGGCTCTAACAAAATGCGACACCAACTCGTTACTTATGGCAATGGAGGTGGGAAATATTCATGAATACAATATTACGCTATCGTCTTCTAAAAGGATGCTTAAAGGCAACTGTGACTCTACTCTCAGTTTTTTAGCATGTAGCACTTGTTATTGGAGTAGCGTATTCGTTCACCGCTCTTAACACTCCCTAATGAAACAAGAGCAAGAGCGATCCGCCTGGGGGATCTTCCTCCTTCTTGTCATCTCCTTTATAGCACTACCGTGCTAGTCTTCCTGGACTCTCAATCTCTAATACAAAAAAATGAGAGACGACGAGTGGTGACAAATTTTGATGAGCTTGGGCAGAAAACTAGTATTGCCAACGAGGAAGGATCAGGCATCAGCAACAATATGGGGAAGATGTGTTTTAATGTCCGACATCAATCCATAGAGCATTACAAAACATAAGAATAAGAAATGGAACAAGCGATCGCCATTTGATGCTGATTAGATATAATTTGTTTTCTTAATTTTAAGCACGATAAGATAATTCTCTGAGTTAGATGCTATCCCATTTGCATTGTTATCAATCGAGTGCTATATGTCCCCAGTACCCAAATATACACTTGGTGGACGAAGGCAGTGTTTCCAGCATAATTACTAACTTGGCAGTATGTGAACGTTCTGAGCCTGGCCAAAAAATATTACTTAGTATTTAAGTGGGTAAAATTTAAATTTCCTGACTGTTCTACTTTTCAGGTGAGAAAGTAATTTCCCTCTCATCATAATAACCCGAAAGATGGTATATTCCCTATCACCCTCCTTGTTCTGAAATCTGTTTTGTTATCACAGGTGAGTTTCAAATTCCGTCGTTTAGCGGAGAAAAAAGGACCTGATGAGGACGATTTTACCAAGTTAGCGAACTCAGTGGACGAGTTTACCAGTTGTTTACTTGACCCTTTGAAGACCAACACAGAGGCGCGTCACGCTTTTGGGGATTCTTTGGATTATCTTGTTGATGCTGGCATAAACCTAGAACAAAAGAAGGTGATTTAGTCTCTGTTTAGTGCCTTGTAGCGTTACGCAGACGATACAGTACGACTTACAGAATAGATGACAATAGTAATGTAAAAATAATTATCTAATAGCCAAATGGATGAATGATTATAATAAAAAAAAATGAAAACTGTGTATAATGTAGCAGATAAAAATCGCACTTATCTAACTTTGGAAGTATCACACTTGTAAAAACTCCTTTAGCTTCATGGACAGCGTTGGATTAACCTGCTTACAAAACCTAGTTGACCAGATAACACTATTTATGATTTATCTATTGTTTTCCTTAAGTTGCTTTTATAAACGGTCAGGTAACAATGTCAATAATATATTCACACCGACCCAGTTTAAAGATTGTTTAGTCTGGTGTAACTAACTATTGCTAAGTCTGGACAGGCACAATGCTTGCATTAATACTAGAACACTGAATACATGCATATCACATTAATTGTCGTTAAAAACGGTTCATATCAATTTGTTGTTGTTTTTTGTTTGACTGTTGGTAGTTCTTCGCACATCCAGTAATATACGACTTGATGAAGAAAAAATGGTGGGGTGCATTTGCTGAGATGAAGAGATCACCCTGGGGGGAACGTTGGGCATGGCTTTTGCTCCATTTTTGGGGCTTGTTTGATATCGTGTTGTTTCCAGTCTTAATCGCTGTTTTCTATATCAAGCACCTCATTAGCATAGCTACACGGCGAAGCAAAGGTTTGTGGGATTACATAGCAATTCATAATAAACAAAGTAACTGGTCGAAAGCCTTTAAAGCAGCATAGGTTCTTAGATAAGCTCAGGAAGGGCAAGGCAACACGTTCAATTGCATGGCTTTGAATACAACGAAAAGCAGCGAAGGGGTAAGTTACAACGTAAACAAACAACATTTCTTTATCCCTACACACTTTGATCTCAGTACATTTGTTTCGTTTTGTTGTTTGTTTGTTTTTTCTCTTTCTTAAGAAATAGACATCGCCTTTGTCATGAATGCAACCTCTGACTCCGCGAACGAAGCATTTCAGCTGATGAAAAAGATCGCAAAGTATGTAATGGAAGAGAAAAACAACCATCAGATGAAATACCAGGTGGTAGTGCATGCTGAAGACTCGTCATCAACGGGTATTTGCTTCGATGATGACTCAGTTCCAGGCGTTAAGATTCTTTCAGATAGAGTGGATCGATTAATGAGGAATGTGGAAGTCAACATTCCTGCTCTTCATGAAGATCTGGAGAAAGTATGTGAAGCTTTCGAACAAGGTAATCAGAGGCCAAACTCTGAAAAGGTAGGTACTAGCTCTTTGTCAAAGCGTTTGATATATATTACTTTTCCTACTAATTATAGAGTATAATATCCAGTACAAGGTGAATAAAAGCAACTGCCTGGATATTCAGCTCATCAGCAAAACGATTACTCGGATAGGAAGAATTATTAATTTTCATATTCACTTCAACCTAGTTCAGAGCACGCGTTTGCAGTGAATAGGCAAATCTTTTTGAAGTCAAAGATTTCGTTTGGTTCATGAGTCCACAGTTTACTGAGAGAAAACATCGTGACGATATTTATTCCTCAATCTGTTGCACAATCTTTGTTGCGTTTTGCATGGAACGTTGAAGGAAATAGTAGGGATTACTTTTCAAATATTGTAATTGACCTTGCAATATTCAGGGTTGATTTTTCATTGCTTGATTATAGAATGAAGAGCATATGCTTATGACACAAGTTTGTAAAGAAAGACTTGAGTAATATTCTAACACTACATATTTCCCTGGAACCTATGCCTTTAAGTAATCTTGATTGTTTCTCTCCTGGGCAACAGTGAGGCAGCGAAGGGTTTTTTGTGAATTTTTCTTGATATGTCCACACTATAACAAATAGCTGTACATGCCGACATGAAAAACTATCCGGTATAGTTAGGTATGCCAAGACCTTTATTTAGCGGTTCACACTCTGCCAAAGATGACCGAGATGTGACGTTCTACTTTCAAAATCGGCGTGGCGCAGTTTCGCTCCGTTGCAAATTCCAATATGTGTACTAGCTGAAGCCCTGTGGATTTCGTGCCGTAGCAAGAGCTATCCGTTTGTTTGATTCATTTCTTACAGGTTCTGGTGCTACTTACCGACCACAAAATTTGCTCAAGGCAAGACAGGAAGCGCGTTAAGGAAGAAATAAAGAAAGTAAAGGAAATGGGAATAAAAATTGTGCCAGTGGGAATCGGCCAACACATTAACATCCGCGAATTAGAAAGGATCGACAGGGAAGGAAGCAAGGTCATGCACTTTGGAGAATATGCAAATCCAAGGGAAGCAGGAAAGAAAATTTGGCATGGTATGTTTCGCATGCTTCAAAAAAGTTCTTAGTATTCTGTAGTAGTGAAACCACAAACCTTAACAAATCTTTAAAAGCGTATAATATAATTTTCCATTCAGTGTGTACTCTTGTACTGACTCCTGAGTTCTCTGAAAAAAACCTAGAGCAAATAAAGGTCAGCATTACATGTTTCCTTTGTTCCAACGCTTAAAATGAGTTTAAGTCAAATCTTTTTTCAACCACAGCAGATTTAGCTCAGTCGGTAGAGTGCTCGACTGCAGAGCGGAAGGTCGCGGGTCCGATTCCCTGGGCCGAATTAATTCTCAGGGTCTTAAAATAACTGAGAAATGAAGTTAATCCCTTTGCACTGCAAGCGGCAAGGCCTTCGCGTGGCTCGGATGACCACCTAAAATGGCGTTCCCGTCTCCAGTAGGAGACGTAAAAATAGTGTCACCAATTAGTGCTTTCGTGTTAAATACCTTGACACTCAAATAAAGTGCTTTTTTTTCTTCTGAAGACGTATTTAACGGTTTAAAATTCTTGTGTTTTTCGCTCTCTCCTGATCAATTTACAAGTTTTACATTCACCGTGTCTACTGTATAGAAGAGACTGTGAAAAAACTAAAGACAGGTCTACTTCGTTGAAATGAGTTTGCACTGAATTTTTTGTTACTGTTTTGACAGAGCTACAAGGAAAAGATTTGTTTGGTAAGTTCTTTAATCCTGGAATTTGTCCTTGTGGTCCTCTGTTGTTATAAGTTTGACATCTAAAAACTGGTGTGATGTTTAAGGCCTTACAACTTTCCTAAACTGTTTAGGTGGGGCGCCTCACGCGTTCTTAAACACTTTGCCTTTTTGGACTACCAGTTTCCCTAACATTATGGTCTTTCACGGATAGATCACAGCCCCGACTTATACGGCCATCGTGATAATGTAACAAAGTCTTATTGACATCTCAGAACATCTCGCAACAATGTTGAGAGGAATGCGTTCTGCGGGGCAAATCATCGATTCAGCAAATAATGTTGATAAAATGGTGTAACCGAGGTTCACATTTGCTTTGGTTTCAGGAAATTCAAATAAAAGAGGGGTTGGTGTAGGTTTCCTTGATGGATACGGAGAGGAATTCAAGAAAAAAATAAACCGGTTTCCCCAAATATATTAATGACATTCTAAAAAAATATATTGCGAAAATTCTGTACATTTTCAGTTCTAAGAAGGTGATATATTTCACCCAAAAATAATTTTCAGCAAAACATTATTGATATCAATGATAAATCTCAATCTCAGTTGAACAGAGTGGTTAGGGGCTGCAGTTGAACCTAAGCTAAAGAAACCTGGTCTTGTAACATTGAAAGAAAAAGCATGACGTCATAAGCCGCCTCCAGAGTACCTATGTCTAAGCTCAGGAAAAAAGCAGTTGCGCAACAAATAACTTCTCTCATGATGGTATACGGGATTTATCTCTGAGCTTTGATCAACCTATCGGCGGTCCTGGCACTGAAATAGCGTTATTTCTCATTTTTTGTAATGATAAGTGCCTTAACAAAAATAAACCGAACAGGTAACGTTATTGGTTTTCTTGGACTTACGGGCAATCGAACGGAACCGCTTCAGCGTCTCAAGGATAACTCCATTTTTTACGCAAAGTTCGAATAATGTAGTTTAGCGACATAGCCGTTGGTCCGGCAAGCAAGTAAACTAAGGTTCGAGTCCGGACAAAAGTCGACTAGCAGCTTTTTCATAATCATCGTCATCATCATCACCACCATCATCATCATCATCATCATCATCAACATCATCATCATGATCATCATCATCATCATCATCATCAGCATCAGCATCAGCATCAGCATCAGCATCATCATCATCATCATCTTTATCATATTATTATTATTATTATTATTATTATTATTATTATTATTATTATTATTATTGTTATTATTAGTGTCATCAATCTTTTGTTTTCTCTTGGCTTCCCTTTATTCCTGCCTTTGTCCTCTTCCAGCCAGCAGCTTTACAAGATTTTGCGAATGATACTCTGAGTCATTAGTCATTTCCGTGGTGGAACCCTGAAAACAAATAATCGAACATATGTGCAATTTTTAACTTTTAAAAAAGAGAAGTGTTTACCAAAATATTTCTTTTTTATTCATAGTCAGTTACCTTGAATACTTCACAACTCCCTACTTCGTGTTTTTTCGAGACACGCTTAGCTACCTGGTACTGCTTGGTTTTCACTTTGTTCTATGTCTTGAGACATCAAGCATCCCGTTCAGCGGTCTAGAGTGGGCGATTTTGGTGTTCTTCCTGAGTCGCATTTTAAATGAAATTAAACAGTTTCTAGACGTCAAAATAAAGCGAAAGAAAAAGACTGGAATTAAGAACTCCGAGGGGTCCAAGTATAATATCCGCTTTGAAAATGGAGTGGAAAGCAGCAAGAGACAAGGAAAATCAGTTATTTTTCTTCAAAAATGCGGCAAATACTTAAGGTACCATGTAATTGGCTTAAAAAGAAGAAGGAGTACTTGTGGTAGTAGTAAAGGTAGCCTGTTCTAGGCTCTCAGATTGTAGGGGCGTCGCGAAAATAAAACAAGCGAAGCGAAAATAAGACGTGCGCGATCTGGAGAAAGGGCGGTGACAGAAAAAGAGACAGAGCTCCACCGACCTCTCTCTCTCTCCGTTCCTTCGCGTTTTTCTTATATTCTTTTATTGCACAACTGCACTACTATCTTGGAGCTTGGGATAGGCTATGGTGGTAGTAGTGCTATTATTACTATTATTAGTTGTTGTTGTTACGTTGTTGATGTATTGATGTTGCTTATGGTACCTGCACACAAGGAAACACCGTAAGGTCCGGTTCCCAACTTCTGGCTAGACATCAAGTACTTAACTGAAAGTGAATATATTTTTAGACCCAGAGTTAGTGAAATGATACATGAAAGCTAACAACTTACAGCTCTAACACGATTAAATGCCAAGATAACAGCATCTTAAACTTTTACTGTCAGATTAAGAAAACCGTTGCAGCTGAGACATTTCACTCTTGTTTATTGTGTTATGACCAATCAACGCTAAGATGAGGACACGCAAGCAACCAGTAGTACACTAAACATTTCTCAATACTGCATGATATTTGGTCTAACCTATAAAAGATGTCTCCAGTTTGCTTTTCGTTCATATATATCCTTTGGCGTTGGCATGTTGGTTCCACCATTAATAAGCATCGTTGCAAATCCGCTGAGGCATTCTTCTGTCATTGAAGAACGTGTCCATAGCTTCAGACGACGCAGAACGCAGAGCAGAGAAGGATCTAGTTTACAAGAAACCCTTCCAACTGGTGTGCCATTACAGATACTCTCGGTAAATTAGAGTGAACCTTGCAAATAGTACATACACACTCCAATTTCAATAGAGGGTTTTGCTTCCTTTTTCTTACTATTTGCACACACTGTGGACCAACCAATTTCTCGGCCTTGAAAATGGCAAACAACTGCAAGTCACTACAATCAAAATAACTGAGTCTAAAGAGAACAAATGCATCTACAGACTTGATCTGTCTGGCTCAACAGGTCCAGGAAGGGGAGCTGCCCCTCTGTCCCCCGCCCCCCCCCGGCTTGCTACGGCTCTGGGTTGTTGCTTGCTTTTAAGTTTTGCGACGCCTGATTGGTTAAAGATAACATTCCAGAAATATTTCTGGTTTTTCAGGGCGTTTTAGTTTCACTTTGCTTTTTTAGTAACGTAATTAGATTCTTTCTTGAATTCAGTGACCGATGGAACATTTTGGATTTCGTAACCGTCAGTATCTACACTGTTACATTTTGCTTGAGGGTAGCCACGTGGACATTATCTGAAGCAGTAACTGACAATCGAGCACTTGTTAGTGCTGGTTACCTATACGCTATAAATACCATGCTCCTTACACTCCGAGCCTTTGGTCACGTGATGGAAACATTCAAGGGCATTGGCGCCATTCAGATCGCTTTGTTTCATATCATCGGTGACGTGGTGACGACATTCTGGCAGTTTATAGCAACTATTTTGGCGTTTTCTATCGCCATTACAAAGGTGTACATGGCAGAAAGATCATTCATTTCCAGCGGCAGCAAAAGGGATTCGTGAGTAGAATCAATATATATATATTAATCAGAGAAAGTTAATCGTCAATATTATTAAGTATAGGAGTATTAGAGGAAACAAAAAAACTGCAGACGTGAGAAGTAAGAAAGAAGTAAAGCGTAGAATAGCGTTAGCAAAAAGTGCATTCCACGAAATGTCAAGAGTACTCAAATCAAGAAATACTAAAATGCAAACAAGGAAATAATATTGCAGTGTTATATATGGTCAACATTATTATATGGTTATGAAGCATGGACTCTGACCAAAACCATGGAAAGTAAATTAGAGGCTTTTGAGATGTGGACGTATAGGAGAATGTTCAGAGTATCATGGACAGAATATAAAACCAATGAATAAGTTTTAAACATGGCAAATACAACAAGGTCATTCAGTACGTCTTGGTGACAGTTACTATCATATACTCCATTGATATTAAATTTAAAAACTAACAATGAAGCGGCCGACACTGTTTAGAACTGGGATATCATGCTCATAAGACTTCACTAAAAGTAGTCATCGAGTTCTTGAAAAAAGGTCTGTCTGATAGCATCATTAGATATCTCATAATAATAAAACTAGTAATAACCGAAGGTTACGGAGTGCGGGCGACAACGATCGACGGGTCAAAACGCTTTTGCTCCAGCGCTGTGCTTTGCGTAAGTTTTACGTGACAGATGGTCAGAACGCGCGTGATCGGATTACAAGTGATAGAAGGTCCAAACGCGTGTGATCAAATTGCGTTCTGTGCATTTCATACATTCTTAGTGGAATTCCAAACGAATGCTGGCTACATTCATGCAAAGCATGCCTAATAACAACCTGGAGATTAGGATTGCGGGCTCCCCTAGTCGCCTACAATTAAAATTTTGCGGCTAATTAGTTACGTCGTTTTCCCGACAAAAATAGCAAGATCTGAAAACAGAAGAAATATCATTTGACCAGTTCTACACTGGGGTAAATGTATTTTCTCACCGTAGTTTCGTCCAACGATGTTTTACGATTACAATTCATTGTTTCTGGTTATATCGCCATCAAAAATTAAATAAATAAATAAATGAAAAATTGAGAATTCTCGGGAATTTCAGAGAGTTTTTGTAGAGTTTTAGACAATTCTAAAAGAATTTAGAGCTTTTTTTGGGAAATCCCTGGAACAATTTAAGGCCATACTTCGAGAATTAGGTAGCTAAGCCTAATAAAGAGTCAAAAAGTAATTTGAATCTGAATTTCTCGCCGTTGGTTATTAAGTATAACTTGACAGGCATTAAAAATTTGTTAAAAGGAAGGAAATGCTCCCAAAGAGAAAAGCGGACATCAAGACAACAAAGATGACTGTTGAAAGAACGACAGGTCCATTCATGCCAGGAAACGCGTTTTAAGTAAGACTCGAACTTCTCTAATAAATGGCACAAAAGGTTCTTCGCGTATTAAATAAGACGCGACTTTCTAGTAATTTAAGGCATGCCTTGTGAAAGACACTCCTCTTATTTTTCCACATATAAATGGCCATAATTTGTTAATTACTAACAGTAAAATTATCAACAAAGATGAACATAGAGATGCCACCTTAACAGCGTTTTGGCTCGTTTCTCGTTTGTCCAATTTTCTTTTTTAGGGCTTGCAAAACCTACAGTGGTTTGTTTTGGTAAGTAAATCTTTTAAAATTTAATTTTCAACATTTTCGCCTCCCTTTAAGAACTCTTTGCATACAAATTGGAGTATTTATAAATTATCCAAAAATGCCTAAGTATTTTGCAGTCGGCATATTGCCCGATTGAATATACCAATTTTATCACATGCAAGGATCTTTAGACCCAGTAAAATTCATGTAGTTGGAAACTGAGAAGGGGCCGGAAAGGGAAAAGGAAAGGGCGGGGATTTTAATTCAGCCTTAGTGGAAATACGGGGTTCAATGACTAAACAAATGAAATCCTAATTAGGGTGAACATTTGATATAAAGTAAACTAATGAAAATGAATTTTTAAAAACGGTCATCGTAGATTGCAGTAATTTGAACAATTTAACATATCTGTAGGAGTATGAAAAGATATTTAGCCTAAAAGGAACGAGAAACCGTTGGACCGTCGCGAAACTGACTTTAAAACATAGAAAGAAGGTTTCACAAGAAAAAAATCATCCAAAAAAGACTGCTTACGAAATTTAGACAAAGTTACAAAAGATCGATACATCAAAATTCTAACATGACTCCAAGACTTTCTGGTCATTTCTCAATGTTTGGTTTGGTTTTCTTAGTGCTCAAGCCTCTTCTGGAGTTGAGAAAATGGAGTTTTGAAAGTTTTGCAATTATATATGCCCTTTAAAGCCTCAAAGTCAAGTTAGAATTTTAGTATATCGAACGTGGGCTATTTGTTTGATCTGTAAAAATTGTGAATGACCATATACACATTCTTTGCTTCTAATCTTAGTTGGTGGAGCATGGTGAAACACCTTACTTGGTCTCTGTTGGGAATAGCGGAGTTGGATCCTCTGGACTCAGTGGACAGCACATCAGCAACTCTCGCCCGCTTATTGTTTGGAGCCTTTCTTATCATGGGGGTCATTCTTCTAGTTAATATGATGATAGCCCTACTGTCTAACACTTACCAGCGAGTTGAGGTAACATTGACCGTATTTGTTTCATCTATTGACAACACTCTTGTTGCTAAAGCCCTGGCCAACCATTCAGCAAAATTGGATCTCACCACCCAACATTGTTTTATTCAAACGCCATAAAAACGCAAGCAATATGTACTTCGATGAAGCAGGGCGTTGCTGGCTTATTGCAACTGAAAACGTAGCGCTAGACCGAAACCAGCTCTTCGAGGACGATTTTGTATGGTCAGGCGAGGGTAATACACTCATTCATACAGTTATATCTGTGCAATACACTCTTGCATTCAATATCCTGAGGGTTCGTGTTTCACTATTTTTTTTGGCACAGTATTAAGTAATTTTTTTCTCTATCTGTACTCTACAGCTGAACGCCGCGGCGCTGTTTTTGTCAATCGTCGAATCATAGCAAAAATCTTCTTAAGTCGGTCAGCTGGTTATGAATACTTAGCAGGATATTTAAAGAAATCAGAAACAAGAGAAATATTTTGAGTGAATAATAATGGTTGTTATCTTGTGCTCTTTTTGAGGATAACTCCCTGAAAGAATGGTCGTTCAAGAAAGCCATAACGATTCAGACGTACAGCACGTACCATCCAATACCGGTACCTCTTAACCTAATGTCAAATGCATTTCTATGGATACGATGGTTGTGGTTTATTTGCAAGGGGCGTTGTAAAAGGCAACCTACGAAGAACACCTGGAGTAACCTAAGCTACGTAAGTCAATTCGATCGTTGTGCAAGACCAACTTATAAAATGACCAACTGTTTGCAAAAGTCTTTTCATCAAGGCAGCTTACCGGCTTAACAGCCTTGCCAGTTGACAGAGGTTTAAGCACTAGCTATTTAATTTTAGACCTAGCAACCTTGCAAAAACTAAAAACCGGTTTTATTATTGTCCAGTTGGAATGTTAATGCGCTGATCGATAGTACAAAAGACAGAGGAACAAACAACACATATTTACTAAAAGAAAACAATAGAGATAGAATTGACTTCCCATGTGTATAATGGTCTGCATGCGTGTTAGGGCCCTTATCCGACTTACCCTAACACAACTAAAGAGACAATTCAAAAACAGTAAGTAACTTCAGTATATATGGAACACTTATATGCACTGTAAAATGTGATTTTGACCTGGAGATCAACGTTAATAACCACTGTGACTTTAATTCATGATGTTATCAAACATTTTTCCTTTTCATCTTAAGCAGAACAAATCCCTGGATACTGTTGTCGAAAATCTCCAATTTACGTATTTTCCAAAATATGGATACTTCTTTCCTTTCACAGGTGAGGATAATTCTCAAATAAAAAAATACCTTGTTTTCTGTCAGTCTGACACCAAAAGAATTGTGTCCATTTTGCAATATCTTTATAACTGTTAACTTTCTTAAGGCTTTGTTGCATTCCTGCTCGTTTATTCTTAAAATTTGTCGTAGTACCCATGAAACAAACTTTCAGAGAAAATTTGCTTTTGGCATAAATTTTACTACAAAGCGAAGGAAGAGCAAACGAAAAATCTAGGCATTCAGTCAAATAATAAACCTCTTTCTGTGCATTATTTTTTTACTTGAAGCCGCGTGTATTTTCGAAAGCGCAGCAATGTTAGGGAAGAAATATTCATTTGGTAGTAGACCTGATCAGAGTCAGTGATAAACAAAATTCGAAGACCCGGCCGTAGCGATCGCGAGAGTTCGATTTGTTTAATCACGAGTATATTATGACAACTAAGACAAATTTGTGATAGTTATTTTAAGCTTTTTTAAAATTGAAATGAAATATATTCCCAGAGTTTTTTGCTAAGAAGAAGTGAAAAAATAAAATTATTCAAGTGAGCGCTCGCTATGGCACGTACTGTCTAATTACTTAGGGGTCCTTAGGCAACGCGTACTGTCCTATTACCCTGTCTTATTATTAGTGAGTTTACGCAACAGGACGGCAGAAAGAAGAGGACCAATCAGGATAGTTGATAACCAAGTAGATTTGAGAGTTTTGTTATAGTTATGATTAATGACAAAATAAAAATAGAATATGAATGTATTGAGAAACTGATTCATGCATTTAAAACCAGTAGGTTAGACTATTACAACAGTCTCCTCTATGGAGTTCGCGACCATCACATGCGAAAACTCCATCGTGTCATGAATGCCAGGGCGCGATTCATCTGCTGCGCACCTAAACACTGTCATCTTACGCCGCTCCTTAACATGAACTTCACTGATTGCCTATCCGCCTACGTATCGAAATTAAAATACTTTTGATCACCTTTAAAGTACTCCAGGGCTCGGCTCCTAAATATCTCATTGATTCAATTTCTGTTTTACCGCCATCCCGTTATGAATTACGGCAAAATAACAAGGGAATTCTTCTGAGCACCCCAAAGCGTTTCAGAAAAGTTATCATGGGGGATCGATCCTTCATGGCGGCAGCGCCACGGCTTTGGAACAGTCTTCCCGTAAGGATTAGATCTGCTTGCACAAAAAATGATTTTAAACAGAAACTTAAGACATTTTTATTCAGCAAGGCATTTTATCAGTACAATTGGTTTATATTTAGATTTTTATATAGTTTTTCTGCAAATTTCTTTTCTTATAACCAACTGTAAATAGTATAGTTTTCGTCTTTTATTCCATAGTGATTGTAAATGGGTTCTTATTTTTGTAGTTTTTGTAATGTTTGTAATGCGCATTTAATTATTTTTATAGAAAATGCGGAATATAAATATTAAGAGTTACGGTCAGGAAATATCGACCATCGCGTGGCAAGAGTTGAAAAATCGATTTCCTTCATTTTTTGCCCATAACCAGCTTTTAGGTAGAGAAGTAATCTGATGTAAGTTGTTCTCGCAAAAAGTCTTTTATTTTCGAGAAAAGTAAGAATATCAGTTTTCGTGGTCGGAGTCTCAAAATGGCCGTATTTTCAACCCGAAAATTGCTAACATCAACTCTCCTCGCGTTCGCAAATAAAGCCGCAAGGAGAAATTTGGACACTTTCCATCAATAGAACAACTCTTCTTCTTTCACTAGAAGATACTTTCAAAGCAATATCAAGACTCGTGGAACTAACGTAATTCAAAAACGAAGAACAGGTTTATACCTGCCAACTCTCACGCCTTTGATCTCACGCCGGCTCACGCTTGTGGACCAATTTCTCACGCCTGATTGAAAAATGTGAGTTGTTGCCGTCTTGCTTGACACAATTTCCAAAAACATGTTAGCTCAGACCCATGTAAGGAACGAAAACCATGTGTAAAATGAATAAATGACAATACCTTCCTCGCGATCTCTGATTTTGGGGATAAGCGTTTTCCCGATAACTTCGCCTTCGGCAGACTTCGGACGTCTTCGGAAGACTTCGGAAGACCTCGGAATTCTTCGGAAGACTTCGAACTTCTTCGAGAATCTTCGAAAATGATTGTGTCGTCTTCAAAAATCCCAGCACTCCCAGGATAAAAAATCTCACGCTTATATCTCAGAAAAAGTTGGCAGGTATACAGGTTTCTACGGTGACAAAAACTTTAATTTAGTAGTTGTTTTCTGCGGCATTATTCTTCATGTGGTATAGCTCTAAATTTTCCCACTCCTCTTTTATTCACACATTTAGACATTCAACTAAAGCATACCTGAGAATTGGCTTGGGTGCTTGAAGGCAGCCTCCAAACGAAAGCATCGAAGTCCGGTAAATATAGTAAATCGTGACCAAAATAACTTATTTGACGGCTCCAAGTTTCCTCGATCGTAAAGTAACAAGAGGAAATATCTTCTTGTTCAGTCATCCTTAGCGAATTACCATTGTTAAGGTCCTTATTTTTCGATAAAAAGTGAGTACCAGAACGCTAGCGCGTTTGATTTTTTCTCCTTCAAAGTACCGGTCGTGCTGTCGGCATCGAAAATGTTACTCCTTCAAGAATTGCGTTGTGTTACTACGCCGTGATCCGTGACTGTCATTTTGACCGCTCCGTCTCTTCGAACGTACGTTATGTCACGTGAAGTCACGGAACAGATTGTCACGCAGAGTCGCCGGCTGGTAGAGTTCACTGTTTCAAAATGGCAAAAATTGACCCAGTTTCACCTTTTTACCCCACTCTTTGATTGAAAAAAGGAACTTTGCAATGGGAAAACCTACAAGAAGTACGAAAAAAGAGCCTTTAGGCTATAAATATCTGCTTTTGTGCGTTTCGAAATTGGAAGTATTCACACAATTACCGCCGGCCTACCATGAAAATTCCGGAACTTCGAAGGTGTCTTACAGAGATTTCCTTCAATAACCCAAGCCAATTCCCAGGTATGTTTTAAATGAATGTCTAAATGTGTGATTTGAATAGCATGAAGAGAATTTGGAGTTATACCACATGTTAAATATTGCCGTCGAAAATGAGTAACGAACTTAAGCTAGTTTTGTTATCCTGAAAACCTATCCCCCATTTTTCAATTATTTCAGTTCGACGAGCTTCGCTATTGCCCTTAAAGTATCTTCTAGTGGAAGAAAAAGAATTTTTCTGTTCATGGAAAGTGTCCAAATTTCTCCATGCAGCTTCGTTTGCGAACGTGAGGAAAGTTAATGTTAGCGAATTTCAGGTTAAAAACTTGGGAAGTCTGAAACTCCGACATCAAAAACGGATCTTCTAATTTTTCTCACATTTAAAAGGCTTTTGGCAGGAACAATCTAGTTTAGGTTTCTTATCTACCTAAAAGCTATCTATGAACAAAAAATGAAAGAAACTGATTTTTCAACTCTTGCCGCGAAATTAAGATTTTGGTCGATTTTTCCTGACCGTCGCTCTTAAATATTATTGTTATTATTATTATTATTACTATTTTGAATTTTAGAGGCTGAGAGTTTTTTTTATTGAAATGAAATGTTTTTGATTCGAATAAGCTTTACTTAGTTAAATTAACTCTTTCTAAGCTAAATTAAGTGCTTTTTAAATCGACAGGAATTGTAAATAGTGTTTTGAATGAACAGTTTTTTCTTTTTTTCAAGGGAATTAATTGTAAATAGCATTTTAGTAGTTAGCATTGTTGTCAACAAAATTTTTTCAGTTTGATTATTATTATTATTATTATTATTATTATTATATGTCTTCCGAACGTTATATGTAAAGTTTCAAACACGAAAAACATCATCTTATGATAAATTTTGCTTTCTTAGACACATTTGCTATCAATATTTGAATTTTAAACTTTTTGTAGGTGCTTGTGAGGACAATCAAAAACTATTTCATCATTTGATTCTATTTTGTTTTTGTTGTTGTTTTGACTAATAAGATGAAAGTAAAATGGACCATGTTCTCCAAGAAACAGAGAGAAATCGGCAAATGGCGAATCAAATTGCCCACGCGACATTTGCCACGCATGGAGGTGTCCTTCCTACTGGCCCAAAGGTAAAAATACTACAGGATGTGAAACAGTCTTTGAAAAGGCGGGCATAGTCCTTATAGTCAGGCATTATTTAAGAGTTGTTAGTATTAGGCAAGCTCTTAAGATCAACGGAAATTAGTACGCATTTAAACTTAAAAATATTCATTTCGTTCACTCCGCTCACCTTTTTTCAACCGATTTATTGACAACAAAAAACACTGGTACATTAGGACGGTTAAATAGCCGGGAATAAGACTTTTTAATATGCGCGCTTAAGGTCTACAAAAACTATCAGTGGATTGCAGGAGCCGTAAGCGAGTGCGTCACTGATAACAACAACATAAGCTTTTTTTGCATGACCATGAAGGTATTACACTATTGCAAAAGCTACTGCAGTACTCTAAATTTAACCACTAATATAACTAATTAATGTAAAACATTAAAACATTACAAAACATAAAAGTTCCCATTCATTCATTGATATTAATTTGTTTGAAGTCAGGTATTTTAGTTTCTATTTTGGAGAAAAATTCGTCTCTAATCTGAGAATATGCTTTACAATCCGGGTAGCAAGAAATGATTTTCATCTTAAATTTAGTACTGTTACAAAAGGAACACATCCTTTCATTGCGAGGAATTTTTTCTAAGTTGATGACTACATGCTCTAATTTCAACTAATGCTTTTTTAGAGGGGTTTTTTCTTGTTAAAACTAGGTACGTCGAGGGGCTATAGTCCTTTTGGTTGTACAATAAAAACTGAGATTTTGTTATTGTTGAAGTGTCTGGTTCCAGAGACGGTTTATTGAGGCGCTACGCCGACATACCGTTTAACTAGAGTCATTCAATGAATTCTAAGAAAAGACACAGTTTAGATCGTAGTAGTCAAGAGATTAGAGTAAAAGCTGTTATTTCCGCCATAATAAAGGACAATTGAAATTTTTAAGGCTTTTTAACTATAGAATCTTCATCTTTACCTTTCAAATAGCTTATAAGTAATTTAGGCAATGTTGAATCTAATTGTTTAATTCAATGAACAGAAAGAAAAAAATGACAGACTTGCCTCTTAGCGCTCGACTTTTCGAGGATTTGTGCCACTTCAGGCATTTTCCAATTCAAAAACACTACTTTCGTCTTGGCTTCCTTTTATCTTTTTTTTTTTTTCGTAATTGTAAACAGTTTCTTCTCTTTATTTTTCTTAGGCCTTCACTCGCTCAAAGCAGAAGAATAAAATGAACACTTTCAAAACTGTGATTCTTTCGTAACGATAACGGCGTTAATCGTGCGCGTTTTAAAGATTTGTTCCAGTTTAGCATTTTCTAGCCTCGGTTTCTCCTTTTTTTACGCTTGCAAACAATCCTGCTAAACGTTTTTTCGAGGCCTTCACTTCCTTTTTCGAAGCAAAAATTATTAGCACAGTCGCTTAATGCGCGGCCACTTAGGTGTGACCTCAAATCCTTGTTTCCGCTTCTTTTCTTTCTGTGAAGCTTTTAGTAGCTTGAAATTTCCGCTAAACAGAGCACTGGTGGAAAGAGGGGAGGTACACTGCTGACTTCAGGTTCGTCAGTCTAATGTGTACTGTTGCGAGTTACTGACGTCCAATAAGGGCCTTTAGTTTTTTTACCTTTGTCGATCCAACTTGAGCTCGCAAGCATTTTAAAAACATGGAACCATATTAGACAAAGAAAACAATTTTTCGTGACGCCATTTGTGTGTCTGTGCCCTAGAAGATCATTGGCAGCAACCAATGACAGGGCGCGTGGCATTCAGATAATTGTATATAAACGGTAAGACATTCTAGTGTTTTTGGATTATTACGATAGGCTGTAGACCCGGCCAGCCACTCTTAGGGTTGATTTCCAGTGTCGCGTAATTTTCACGTGCGTACGTGCGTAAAATATACGTTCGCAGATAAAACCGAGGTAATGCATGAAAGGTCGCTCGTAAGCGTAAAAGTTGATACGTTTTATCTTGCCTCTATTTTACTTACGTGATTAAAATTTACTTGCGTTAACGTGCGTAGTCAAAATCGCGTCGGTGGAAATTAACCTTTACTCCTTTAAAATCTGTCGGACGTCAGAACCTTCACGATATTAAAGACATTGGGGGACCTATACTAGACTTAGTTTTAGTGGTCTATCTCTGCCAACTTTGGTCGGCCTAGGGATTAACTTCAAGGGATTCTAAGCAAATGAGACAAAAACCGACATACAGTCAGAAGCCAGGCTTTTTGCCGGGTGCTAGCATGCGTAGCAGTCATTTCCTTTCCTTTTAAACAGACGGGTAAAGCTAAAGGGGCGCCGCTCTTAACTGTTTTTTTTTTTTTGCTCCTTAGCCCTTGCTTGTCTCTCCTGCGCTTCTTCCGCGTGGCTAAAAGAAAACGGAAACGAATACTTGATCAGGCTAGCAAGGTGCTTAAACCCTCACTAAGAAATTCAGGGACAGGCACTCACGACCCAACGCTGCTCAGTAATTCAGTGTTAGTTTAAACTTACGTAGGAGAAGTCAAGTACAGCATTAAGGTATAAAAAAGTGTTTTACAGGCCTGGCAAAGCCAAGGGATAAGAGTGCAAGGATGCCTTTTAACTTGTGAAGGAAGTTTGTTTTGCTCCACCTGTAAAGACGATCCAGCCGAATACCACGGCGCGAGATACATCTTTCCTTTCTCTCCAGAGACTCCCCATTTTGAGGTGCGTTCCCTAATTAATATCAAAGTCATTAAAAGGCTTCTTTCCGTCAAAAATGAAACAGATAGGGTGAAACCCCATGAATCCGACTACCGTTAGGCCAAGGAATCCTGGTCGTATTAACGACGTTTCCAGACTGAGATAATGACTGAGAAGTTTATCGTTTGAACCAGAATAATGTGCTCGTACTAAAGAAGTGGTAAGAAAGTACCGAGGGTTGCAAAATAGCGTAAAAACACTAACAAACCAGTGGCTAAGCTGAAGATATTAACTATGTGTCCAATCCATATAGATTAATTTCAGCAGAGCTCACACGCAAAGGAAAGTCTTTGACTTCATAAACAGCAACTGACCCAGGATGAAACCCTGCGGTACACCAAAATGAATGAACCTTGAAAGTCTATCACGTCAAAAAATACAACAACAACAACAACAAACAAACAAATAGTCTAAAACAAAAGACACACACACACAATTGCCATTCGTTTCAGTCTTCCTCAAGCTTGTCAACCCGTGCCTCCCTCTGTATTTACCATGTTATTTTTAGCTCTTTCTAATAACTTAACCGGTTATTTTAATGTTGTACCCAGTTGGTGGTAGTTCCCACCGATTATTGAATTTTGATAACTTTCGTGACTCATGTAAACTCCTTTAATAGGTTTTTACCACTACTTACAATAAAGGTCTTTACTTGACCCCGAGGCCAAGGGAAATAAAACAAAAGAACTGATCTATTCATCCTTGAACCTCAAAATTATTTCTTTAACAATATCGAAAAAGGCAAAACATTCCCTGGAGAAAGCAATTATTACTATTGCTATTATCATTATCATTATCGGTATCGTTATTATTATTATTATAATTATTATTATTATTATTATTAATGCCGACAAAAAGCTAAGCGAGCTGTTGAGTTAGCTACAGAGAAGGGATCATCAAATTGGCTGACCGTGATTCCTCTCGAAGAGCTAGATTACAATCTGAATAAGAAGGAATTTAGAGATGCAATCAAGTTACGGTACGACTGGGAAATAACGGACACGCCCATGATCTGCGCATGCGGTGTTCAATTTAGCGTGGATCACGCAATGGTGTGTCAGCGTGGCGGATTCATTATCCAGCGCCATAACGAACTGCGCGACTTGGAAGCAGAGATGCTAAGGATGGTCTGTAATGATGTGGAAGTAGAGCCGGTACTTCAGGAGGTCACTTGGGAGACATTAAATCATGCCGCTAACAAAGCTCCTGATGCCCGTTTGGATATTCATGCTCAAGGTTTTTGCGAGAGACAGAGATCTACATTCTTCGACGTTTGGGTGTGTCACCCTAATGTAGACTTTTATAGAGACTTGACTCCTAGGCAAATCTATAAGAAGCATGAGAAGGAGAAGAAGAGGCAGTATGCGGAAAGAGTCATGAAGATCGAACAGGGAACGTTCACTCCCCTAGTTTTCACGACCACTGGTCAGAAGCCCATCAAATGGAGCCTCCATCTCCATTAATTTCTTGAGTCAACTCTTTCCCGAGTAGATTTATAAATAGAACGGCTTGTTTCCCGCAAAAAAGTGTCATATTTCCGTGAGGTCGTATGTCACCGTGTAAAAATAAAGTTGAATAAAGTCGAACTCAGGAGCCCGTCCTTCGACCGTTTTCCTTTTTTACTATACGTCCATTTTTACGAGTTTACAGCCGCTGGGATCTGGGTATCATGAAATAAAAGTTAATGAATTACCCGACGGAGACTGAGCATGAAGCGATGGACAAAGGTAGAAAACTGAGGATCACGGAAAGGTTATCTTGGCGAGTTTTTTTTTTTTTTTTTTTTTGGCCGTCATACATCATACATGTAAGCATACACTTCGAAAAGAGTCGACAATAAAGCGTTCTGTGGACGATTTGGAACTTTTCGATGATCATCGCCGAAAAAGTGCCAGAATTACTTGATTTTTGTCATCACCGTGGAGTGGATTTCGACAGAAGCACCGCGTGCAAAAGCGATGACCTAAGTAGCAACTAACAAGGAATGCTTTAGTTCCGAAATTTGAGAAATTGCAGTCTTCCTTTACAACTGACTCTATTACCATGAGTGTTACCTAATGAAACTGGCACTTGAAAAGTTGAACAGAAGAGAACAGTTGCTCGACTGTGAAGCTAACTCAAAAGTAATTTGTTAACGGAGGAATTTGTGACACCGCGCTCCAGTCCAAAGGTCCACTTATTATTTGGGCGTGGCCCAAATAGAGTAATGGAAACGGCTTGTTTTGACGCAAATGTGCAATAGGCACGCAATTCGTGCTAACGTAAACAAGGCAAGTAAACAAGCGAAGCGAGGCGAATGTCTGTCATGGGAACGTCTTTTACAAGGTAAGGGGCATGTGGGAAAGAAAGCTCTGCTTGCCCACGGCACTTAATCGCACTTTTACGATCTCAAAATTTAATCTGAATCTTCAGTATTTTTGCCTCATTGAAATTTGGAAGTCTGATGTCCAGGGATGAAATCTATCAAAAGTATTTGGAATATTAACGTCGGGTTTTGGTCACAATAATATCACACGCAACGAACCTTGAAACACAGAAACTCAAAAAACGGATCGAAATCCACCAATCACAAACCATAAACAATGACCTTTTGAACCAGTTGAAGAAAACTTTCGTTTCCTAAGAGGTCCGCTAAGATGATTGACGTCTGACATTTTTTTGACGAGAGGATCGAAATGCACCAATCATCGAAAGACAGTTTTAATTGCACGTTTCCTAAGAGGTCATCTGAATTTGCTCTTTTCTTTATTTTATGTCCATTTTTTGTGATTGGTCGATTTTGTTAGGTTGAGTGGATAATCCAATGAGGGACGATTTGGATATCGTTTGATCCGAAATTTTTCGAAGCAGAAGTGAGAAGCAGTTTGGATAACATTTGGCCGCGGCGTTTCGAGAAACGTGTTAATATATTGTTCAATCATGTTATTCCGGGTTAAACTTACAAATGCACACACTGTTCGCGGTAGGCCCGCACTAAAAAATAACACTGAGTGTTTTCGGAATGGGCTGGTCCGCGAACTCAAAGAAAGACAAAGGAAATTATCAAGACATTCAATGACATCAAAGACTCATGGACCCCATAGACGTAATAACAAATCGGAATATCAGGAGTGTACGTGTAAAATGGAAAAGAGTTGGAATAGAGGAATGTTGAACAAGTGTGAGAGTCGCAAGATTTGTGTAGCTGGTTATCAGTGTGACAATAGTGATTTTGATTTTGCATTGCGGAACACAGTGAGTTGCCTGTGATAAAAATCTGTTCCGATGAAGGAAGAGACGATTGTCAACAATTGAAACCAAAAGGGTCTGAGGCTTGTTTTGGAACTACTGTGATAACTGCAACAATTCTTCTTCAATTTTGTTTAGCAGGGTGACGGTTAATGTACTTGTTTTTGTATTGCGTGTTGTGTTTTTTCATACGATGCTGTGCGTCGGGATTTTGCATTATCAGCATGTTTTGTATTAGTGTTTTGTTGGCAGCGAGGTGACGACAAGATAAGGTAATGAGCTAGTTGTACAGAAGGAAAATTGTGTTGTGGAGGAAATAAAAGAAGTTGAATGAGTTCTCGTCGTGGGAAATTTATTTATAACAGAACTTACGATTTCATTGCTTTAAATCAGGTTAGTCCATTATATTTTCGGCATGACAAATTACCATAGAATCGAGATTGTAATTCGAAACTCGCGTTGTTTTCAAAATTTGCATAAATCGGGCGCTGCAAAGAAATATTTAGGTTACAAGCGCTTCAAAATACTGTACCTCCAGAACGGCTTAGCTTTTACTTGTTGTGCTATATCTTTCAAAACTATCGATCAATGCCCGTGGCTGGTTAAAATCGTCTCTTGTTGGTTTTCAAACGATTCAGGATGGATCGAATCGACTTTGGAACGTTTATTATTGGACGTATGGAAAAGCCGGAATCCGGAATCCGGAATCCGGACCCGGAAACGAAAACGGAAACGGAACCGGAACTTAAATTGAGACTGGGGTAAACTGGGAAGCACTGAAACCAGTTCACAATAAAATTCAAGATGGCGTCCTCCGTTATCATTGTTTTGGGAAATTTTCAGCACAGTGATCGTGATACCACAGATTATCTCACATTCGGAAAGTGACTTGCAAAAAAAAAAGGTAAGTGCATCCTACTGTTATTCCTAGAAGTCATAAACTGTGACTGCAGCTTTAGGTCGAGCAACTTTCGACAGATCGAGACTACAACTAATCAGAAGTCTATTGACTGCGAAAAACAGCCATTATTAGTATGTGATGTTTAAGACCGCTGTGTTATTCATTTCCTTCCCTTGAACCTAAGTTACTCTTTTCTTAAAAAAGGCTCCGTGTTTTATCCATTGTGAGGGAAAGGCGGCAAAGGGAGGAGGAGTACTCATGTCAATCATGATCCCAAGTTGCAACGCTCACGCGTATATGAAATTCTCGAACAAAAATTTTGCACCGTACGCAAAAAGTGCGACAGTAAAAAATAAAATAACAATAGATAAATATAATGTGGGAAATAAAAGTCTTGATCGAGCAATTATTGTTGGTGACACTCTCAAGACAGAAACGTCTCCAATTTTTATTTCTTAGGTTCCGGTTCCGGTTCCGGTTCCGGATTCCGGATTCCGGATTCCGGATTCCGGATTCCTTCTCTTCCATACGCCTTTTCTTATTTTATCAGCTTCTGGTATGAACAAAACGTTTTTCTTCTCGGTAAAGTTCACTCAACAAATTTAGAAAGATGTACTTGACTTTTCATATGTGGAACGAACTGACTTTTTTGTGGAACGAACTGACTGTTTTATGGAACGATCTGACTATTGATTGGAACGATCTGACTTGGAACGATGGCAACGATCTGACCATGGAACGAAATGACCGGTTACCGTCATGCCCCTAGCAGACCACCAATGAACAAAATAAAATCTTTGTTACAGAAAACACGAAAAGTGACACTTTTTGTATGGAAGAGTATTCCGAAAAATACACCGTTGTCGCTGAAATTCATTGTTACGTTAAAAGTACAAAAGGTTTACACTTAAACAGGTACAGAAGTAAGAACTGTAACAGTGTGGGGTTTTACTTAAGGGGCAACTCCAAAACTAGTTCGTAAACGAGGGAAGGTGTATCTGTCGTCCAAGCATCAGAGCACCGGCGATTTAGGTGGAATGAGATATCCAAATAGGCTTCTAAGTAAGAATTTGCCCCTCTGTACATGTAATTATCCATTTTATACTGCTTAAAACAGTTTGAATCACCGGGTTAATTTTGGCCAATTTAAGCTTTGTACTGATATAGAGAAGAATCCAAGACCTTCAGTTTATGTAGATGCTACAAAAACAATTAATGCTCCATACTGTCAAGGAAATGTTACAGGATTTGGGGAAAATGGTGGATCACGATGTGTCGCAGTGAGTCTGTGCGCTTTAATTTACAGTAAGATAACAAAGATTACTTCAGTTGATGATATGACTCAAATAATGATTGTTGGTATTCAATTATATTCTTGTCTGTCACTGCTTGTAAGACAATCTATGTCAATGTTAACAGAATCGCCAGGAATGGTTTTCCACCTTGAATACAGTGACAGTTATACTTGTAACATCCATCACTACTGTATATGCCACTCACAGGTTACAGCATTTGAAACACTCTTGGCACTGAACTACAACTCATTCATTTTAATGGTGGCAATTATTGGTCTTGGTATCTACAGCACTGAGGCTGGGGGATATAATGAATTGGATTCTCATGCTAGAGATATGCATCATAACAGTCAAAGTGAAGGGACATGTGTATTGTTGGAAATACCATCCATGCATAAATTAGTACAATATTTTCAAACCCTACATAGGAATGAGGATATATATGAACTTAAACGTGTACATATTGCCACCTTTGAACCTCATCTTTTCTCAAGCAATGTTGAAAATTGTAGTATATCAAATGTTAATAGTTACCAATGTTCCTGTAAACAGTGCTGCCCTATAGCAGTTTATGCAATGTGTTACTCTCTTATTAATCCTTGTGGATACTGGACTTAAGGAACTTTATTTGCCCTTGTTAGTAACCGGAGTACACTGTACAAAGTGATGGGTGTGAAAACACGTCTGTCAGTATCAGTGGAGCTGAGATAAACCTTACTCTCTGGGCTGTAACCACTTATGTCCTATGTTGTAATTTGGCTCCAAGGATGTCTGCTTTGAAGATGTGCATATTTTCAAACATTGTCGTGAAGAGACACTATTTTTGTTGTGGATTGGGACATACTGTATCTAAATCTAAATCTAAATATCGTTATGTCGGCAAAATCGTTTGGGACATCACGCCAACTCTAAGATAATAATAAATAAAACTATACTAAAATATACAAAACTATTAAAAACTATTAAAAACTACTGATAAAAATAAAACTAAATTAGTTTGCTTTTAAAAATACAGAGGGATTGGCTAGAAACAGTTTCTTCTGGAAGTTTGTTCCATTCAGTTATTGTCCTGTGAAAAAAAGAAAATCTAAAAATATCTTTATGTCCTTTCGGTACAATAAATTTAAAATCATGGCTTCCCCGGGTTCTCCTTTCTTTACTTGTTATCAAATAATCCCCCCAATCCCCATCTAGGAGGCCGTGGCACATCTTGTATATAGTGGAGAGCCTTGCGTGTCTTCTCATTGTTTCAAGTGTGTCCCACTGTAGGTCTTGCAGCATTTCCGTCACGCTCGTTGTTCGATCGTAATTTCCAGTGACAAAGCGGGCTGCTTTCCGCTGTACCCTTTCTAGAGCGGCTTTATCTTTCTGGTAATGTGGGTCCCATGCGCTACAGGCATACTGGAGTTTTGGCCTCACAAGTGTCATATACACGGTTTCTTTCACTGACTTTGGACAATTCCACAGGTTTCGCTTGATAAGTCCCAAGACCTTATTTGCCCTAGATGTGATTGTTTCAATGTGTGGTGACCACCTCATTTTGTTATCGAGGACTACCCCCAGATAAGGGTGAGATTCCACTTCTTCTAGGATTTGTCCACAGAATACGTATTCCCGCTTTGGTGGATCTCTCTTGGTTGTAAAACACATGATCTTGCACTTTGAAGGATTAAATTCCATCTTCCACTTTTGTTGCCAATCTTCTAATCTATACAAGTCCTCTTGGAGATCGGCTGTGTCTTCATCACAACAAATTGTCCCATATAACAATGCATCATCAGCAAAAAGTCTAACAGTAGAGTTAAGACTATCAGGTAAATCATTTATATACATTAAGAACAGTAGCGGTCCTAAGACTGTTCCTTGGGGAACACCAGATGTCGTAACTACAGGGGCAGATGATGCCCCCTCAATTACCACTGATTGGGTACGCTGTGTTAGAAACGATTCAAACCAGTTATGTAGTGGGCCACGAATTCCGTAATAATCAAGTTTCTTCAAGAGTCGGCGATGGGGAACTTTGTCGAATGCTTTTGAAAAATCAAGGATTGCGGCGTGAATTGTTTTGTTAGACTGGATAGCACTTGCTATATCATGAATGGTACATATGAGCTGTGTTTCTGTTGATCGTTTCGCTCTAAAGCCATGTTGACAATCAGTGAGCACTCCATATCGTGAAAGATGCTTCATAACATGGCTGTGTACAATATGCTCAAGTACCTTTGATGCGATGCAGGTAAGTGACACGGGCCTATAATTTGAAGGATCCGATTTCTTTCCTTTCTTGTGAATAGCGCATACGTTGGCGTGTTTCCATTGGATAGGCACAGTTCCGGTATCAATACAATCTTGATATATATCAGTAAGAACCTTTGATATTTCATGGGCATTCTCCTTTAAAAACCAGGGTGGAATTCCATCCGGGCCATTCGCTTTATCTACCTTCAACTCGCTAAGTTGCTTTTCAACTCCACAGGTTGTGATGTTTATTGTTCCAATAGTCGGAATAGGGCTTTCACCAGGGTCTGGGATATTCTCTGATTCTTCGTTGTTGAAAACACTGGAGAACTGACTATTTAGCACTTCGGCCTTAGCTCTCGGTTCGGTAAACACTTCATTTCCAACTTTGAGGTCTTGGGTATCTGTACCCTCTTTTCCTAGTTTTTTGATGTGTACTGTATAAGCTGTGTGGTTCAGCAAACAAGTGGAGTAAAGGATTTGTCTTCTCTGGTAACATATGATGACAGTTCTTTAGCTGCAATAAGGCATGTTCAAAGTATCATACCCGTAGTACGACCACGCCCAAATATACGCTCACACAGCGTCTTGTCTCAAGAAAAACAAAACGGATTGTATCTGCGACAAAATAATTATGACTGACTAACAGGACAATTCTTAGCGGTTAATGTAGAAGTTTAAGCTCCATTCTTTCCGCGAATTCGCATCTGTAGAGCACTTTTCGCGAGAAAACAATGTAAAAATAGCTGGGCCCGGCGTTACAAGACATAGCAGAGAATCATCACACTAGCTGACGGACAGAACAACCACAAGGAATACAAGTATTTTTTCAGCTAGATAAACGCATTTCGGAAAAAAACCTTGAAAAACTAGAAATTTGATTAATATTGAGTCATTTAGCCGAAATAAGAACCTTAACGCTTAAAAAAAATTGCCCAAAGAAAACGAATCCTGTCAGAACTACAGACTGCAGGAAGTAGTTAATCATTATGCATGGAACAGACCAGCTTCATGGTCTCTTAATGTGAGACAAGCAGCCAAAATTAAGATTAACGTAGTCAGAGTTTAAACCTCTCCACGGTATAATCTACCCGCTAGAAAGAAAAAAAAGAAGAACATCTCTGAGGGATAAAAACGCTAAAGTCACGTTTCACTAGCTTATGATTGTGTTTGGCCTGTCAACACCGAATTTCCTGTTGTTTGATGATGTACAATAGCACTGTCATTTCGTCGTTGTGATTGGCTCTTACCACCGTCGGCGCGCGAAGTCTCCTCTGGGAACCGTTCTAATTATAAATCTACTCGGGAAAGGGTTGACTCCAAGGGNCACACTAGCTGACGGACAGAACAACCACAAGGAATACAAGTATTTTTTCAGCTAGATAAACGCATTTCGGAAAAAAACCTTGAAAAACTAGAAATTTGATTAATATTGAGTCATTTAGCCGAAATAAGAACCTTAACGCTTAAAAAAAATTGCCCAAAGAAAACGAATCCTGTCAGAACTACAGACTGCAGGAAGTAGTTAATCATTATGCATGGAACAGACCAGCTTCATGGTCTCTTAATGTGAGACAAGCAGCCAAAATTAAGATTAACGTAGTCAGAGTTTAAACCTCTCCACAGTATAATCTACCCGCTAGAAAGAAAAGAAAGAACATCTCTGAGGGATAAAAACGCTAAAGTCACGTTTCACTAGCTTATGATTGTGTTTGGCCTGTCAACACCGAATTTCCTGTTGTTTGATGATGTACAATAGCACTGTCATTTCGTCGTTGTGATTGGCTCTTACCACCGTCGGCGCGCGAAGTCTCCTCTGGGAACCGTTCTAATTATAAATCTACTCGGGAAAGGGTTGACTCCAAGGGTATGTATGGGAGATGGAGGCTCCATTTGATGGGCTCCTGCCACAGGTGGAATAACGGATGAGAGTGTTGTGTACCACAGCAGACTTGGGGAGCTGATCGCAAATAAGAAGGGAGAAATTTACTCACGCGCAATTTCCTGGATAAGAGCTAAAGTATCTTTCGCCATCGTACGCTCTGTGATGCTATGCTTGAGAGGCTCAAGATCCAGAAGACGACAGCTAGACTTTGTTGACTCAGATCTACAGATCGAAAATATTATAGCCTACCTGAATTGATTGATTATTTATTTTTTTTAATTTTATTATTATTATTTTTTAAACATTTGAAAGAAACTTTTAGAGAATTTTAGAGGCTGATAGTTCTTATTATTGAAATGAAATGTTTTTAATTCGAATAATTTTTCTAAGTTAAATTAACTCTTTCTAAGTTGAATTTAGTGCTTCTTAAATCGACAGGAATTGTAAATAGTGTTTTGAATGAATATTTTTTTTTTAAGCGAAATATTATATAATTATTATTATTTTTATTATTATTATTATTATTACTTCATTCATTCAAAATATTTTTCATTTTCTGACCGTCTTAAACCTCCCGGATAATTTTTCATAACCAGCTGGCGTTGACCAAATTTTGAAAAAAATGTTCTATTATTCGATGGTTGGTGTCAGTCGTCAAATAGTATGAAAATTATTGGACGCATGGCGTCAAGCCAAGATAGCGGCGCCTCGACATTCAGGGAATAAAATAAATTAAAAGAAATCACTTTAAGGTTCCGGGATGAATAATATATATCGTTTGTTTGATTTCCCCAAGCATCCTGGCTAATTAGGAATTTTAATATATCGAAATTGGTCAGTCTATTGAAAGTTCATAACGTAGCCCTATCCAATCATTGAGTTCTATCAAGCTGACAGTAACCAATTTAGCACTTTTTGAATAGGTTCTCATTCAAGAAACGGGAGGACGAAGAATCATAGGTGTAGGCGTTGTTGGGAAGGATTATGGAAGTCATGCCCTGCCAGGATGGTGCAATGGAACCGTGGGATATCACATTGATGATGGACGAATATTTGACGCAAATAATCCTACAAAAGGAATAGAGTATGAAGGCAAGGGAGTACAATTTTTTTCTCCTCGATCTAGATCTATAGAATTTAGTAGAGAAGAGAAGTTAATGATTTAAAAGCATCGGACTTACGTAACGTATATACGGGAAATAAAATTTTTGAAAAATGTTTTCTTAAACAAGATAAAGAGTAATTTTCAATGTATGTAGCAGAGACAGCTCCTTTTAATGTCTTGTCTGCGATAACAGGACTGAAAAGACGTCGATCATTTCCCTGCAAACGAACGCAAGGTTGGGAAAGCCTTATATACACAGCCGACGCTAAATCATATGGTGTGCGAGGTTGTTGTATTTCACAGTGCATAAAGGGAGCCGCTTTTGACGTTGCCAGCCTTACTAGTGTGCAGAGCGTCGTTACAAGTGAACCTGATTTGCTACGAGTTTCTTGGTAGCAGGGTGGTTCGAGCGACAAACGATGTACAGGATGGTGGGTGTTAATCTTGAAGTAGAGGAACGCATAAAATGACCATATTTGCCACCCTTCATTTGACAACAATGGTAGATACTGAGTGCGCAAAGATTGTCCAACTAATAATAGGTTCTAGTGGTTTAAATTGAATGTAAGAGCTAACAATGACTTGCAATTTGTCAGTGCTATCAGTTCTTATGATATCTTTGTAGACGCCATGGCCTACAGAGGGAACTTGATTGGCTGCACAGTCAGCTTTGATATGGCAAAAGACGGAAAAGTTCCAATCGTGTTTTCTTTAAACGGAAGGCAGATTACTCGGAATGAGATACAAATTGACTACATACCAAATGAGAAATCTCTGTACCCCTACATTGGCATAGGACACGAAGGAATCAGAGTACTCGCCATGGTATAAATTATCGACTTACACCTAGTTGCACTACACTGTAAACTATTAACCCTCGGACGTACATGCAAAATCATACCCCACCGTGGTACAAAGGGGGGTGGGATTGTGAGAACCCCTCCCTAGCGTTTTCGTTACTTTACGATATTTTGACAATTAATTTTCTACCCTTCACAAATAGCTTGTTATCTCCTTACACGATGACGTTGATACTGTGGGATAAATGTGCAAATGGGGCTAAGTGACGTAATCAAACATGGATTTTTCACTTATTCTTCTATTTTTTTCCCGAACTTTTTAGCATGTGAAAGATGCCTTAACACATCACTATGTTGGCTTACAACTACTTCTGGATTACAATATGGCCCTGAAAGCTTTTACAACCCATCTCAAAATTTCCCACATTTATGAGCTAGTTTTCACCAAATTCATAGCAAACCGAAAATATGTCTTAAAGATAAACGAACAGCTACTGAAAAGGACAAGTGCCCAGAATCCACTCGATAAAACTTAAAACAAAAAAGCCAGAGGAGGGTGGTATCCACCTCCCCCGTCCCTGGTACGTGCGAGGGTTAATCCACAAACAGGCACTTCCATAATTAGCCACAAAAGGGGTACTATTTGTTTGTTTGTTTCTTTTTGTTTATTGTTTTGCTTTGCTTTGTTTTGCGTGGTTTTTTCATTTTTGCATTTCACATGAAAAAGTCATTGGAATTACGTAAATATTATTTCATAAGTCCAAAAGCAGTACTCCCGTTAAAGACAGCTATATACACAACTAAAACCTTTACTTGGGCCATTGTAGAGATCGATAAAGACGTTAACCAATCATGACTTAGCTTGAATTTCATACTGAATGTACTCCTATTACATTCATAGAGTGACTATCAATATGATAATAGTTACAAGTTATTAGCAAATCTGTCTATCTTCCTCAGCAGGATATTCTCATGAAAAGGAACATTATTATAAAGCAGAAATGCTGGAAGAAATATAGACCTCTTTTTTAATGGTTATAATGTACTTTAATACTTTCAACTGTGTTAGGAGGTTCGACTCGCTATGGTTAACGTATAGCTGTTTTGAGCCCAAGTAGAACTTGGTATTAGAACTTCTAAATTCGAAATTCTGAGAATTAACGGCTTACGAGGGTGGACATGCTCTTAACTTACTTTTGATGCATAGATGTGCAGGTGGAGACATGCTCACTTGTTATAATAATAATAATAATAATAAAATATTTATATAGCGCTTATACTTTTCAGTTCTAAGCGCTTTACATTACTTCAAAAAGGTCTGAATAAAAAATAAAAATCATTACAAATATACATATATACATAGTCGCAAAAATACAAAATAAAAAAACCTAAGATAGTTCGTAAACTCGTTTAAAAAGGAAGGTCTTCAATTTAGATTTAAACTTATTTACATCATTGATCGATCTAATGTCAACAGGCAAATCGTTCCAGAGTATAGGGGCAATGACTGAAAAAGCCCTGAAACCGTATGTCTTTAAGTTATAGGGTTTAATAACAAGACGCCACTTGTCTGAAGATGATCGAAGGTACCTCGCAGGTTCATAAACATGGATTNAAAAAAGCCAGAGGAGGGTGGTATCCACCTCCCCCGTCCCTGGTACGTGCGAGGGTTAATCCACAAACAGGCACTTCCATAATTAGCCACAAAAGGGGTACTATTTGTTTGTTTGTTTCTTTTTGTTTATTGTTTTGCTTTGCTTTGTTTTGCGTGGTTTTTTCATTTTTGCATTTCACATGAAAAAGTCATTGGAATTACGTAAATATTATTTCATAAGTCCAAAAGCAGTACTCCCGTTAAAGACAGCTATATACACAACTAAAACCTTTACTTGGGCCATTGTAGAGATCGATAAAGACGTTAACCAATCATGACTTAGCTTGAATTTCATACTGAATGTACTCCTATTACATTCATAGAGTGACTATCAATATGATAATAGTTATAAGTTATTAGCAAATCTGTCTATCTTCCTCAGCCGGATATTCTCATGAAAAGGAACATTATTATAAAGCAGAAATGCTGGAAGAAATACAGACCTCTTTTTTAATGGTTATAATGTACTTTAATACTTTCAACTGTGTTAGGAGGTTCGACTCGCTATGGTTAACGTATAGCTGTTTTGAGCCCAAGTAGAACTTGGTATTAGAACTTCTAAATTCGAAATTCTGAGAATTAACGGCTTACGAGGGTGGGCATGCTCTTAACTTACTTTTGATGCATAGATGTGCAGGTGGAGACATGCTCACTTGTTCTGCTTTCGTCTTTTAGCTGCGCTCAAGGGAAAGGACATTTTATGCTTTTGATGATCGCCAAGTCTCCTGCAAGGAACTCGAAGGACTTCAAATTGGTCTGGAAGCAATCAAGCTGTCCCTGAAAGACTTGGACCAGCTAAAAAAAACTGTTAATGAAAAACTTTTAACTTTAGATAAGGAGATCCTGGAAATTCATAGAGAGATAGACAAATCAGGTCAGGAATCAAAGAGGCTGAGACGTGACATCAATCGCGAATTTACAATGACAGAAAATTCAATAGCACCGAATTGGCGAATGAGATTTAAGCAACTTCATAGTCCAGTTTTACAGCGCAGAAATTTAGCATACTTGCGTGAACTGGACGAGAAAAGTTTCGAGCAAGAGTGCAAGACCATCGATGATGCACTTGATAAATTAAGAGAAACAACAGGTGAACTCGGTGTTATTTCAAACGAGGGTTTTGAAGTCGCTTTTAAACGTTTGACAGAAATTAAGGAAGATTCTGCACTACACACCCAGGATCTTAGTGATATTAGAAGCATTGTAGAAAGTCGATTCATAAAGTTAAGGGAGCTAATACAAAGCAACCAGAAATAGCTATTAGAAAGAATTTAATAAAAAAATATTATTTAGTAACATTGTAAGTAATCTTAGTCTCATAGATAAAATATTAATATATAGCTTCTAAGCAAATGGCATCGCCGCAGGGAATTGTTACTGGATAGTGTCCCTTTAATAGGAACCTGTCTGCTACAGAATTGTTCTTGTTTCAATAAATTTCCTTGTAATATGTAATAGAAAAGAAGTTTCCTTCTAATATGTAATAGAAAAGCATCTGAACAAGGGCCATTGGAATCCTAAAAGATGGAGAACTGGGGTCGCAACCACGCATAGTGTAGACTTGACTGAACTTCATTGCAAAAACTGAGACGCTGACTAGGAATTTATAATCGAAAATGAATAAATATAATGATACTTTACTAGTCCTTGTTAGACCGACTTCACTATAATTACAAATTGAAGCATTAAAATAAATAACAATGGTTAGACAACAATCGTCGTTTATATGTATGTAAAATAATAACTTAAGTTAATAATAAACTGTTTATTTATCACCATTGCAGTTGAAAATCCTGAATTACAGGGATAAAATACATGCTCCAAAAATTTACACTATTTAACAATGCTATACATTATATACTACTACTTTAGCGTTTACACACTGTACTCTTGATTTAAAAGTAATAAAACTAAATGAGCCAGAACGGTTCGTACGGCCGCATGCTCCTGTTGTGACATGCCTTGGTACTACTGGTCGTCCTTGTCCTGAGGTTAGTAAAAAGGGATTTTGGTAACTAATATTGTGTAACTTTTGCATGTTTTTCATGCATAACTGATTCCTCCACATTTCGAGGCTTGTAGTTTGGGCCGAACTAGCGGCGCCCGCATAGCTAAAGTGATGGATATATAATAGACAGGGCCCTTCTCTGAACTGATTCAAGTTTATCGGAAAGGAAGGAAAGAAATGTCCTGCCATACCTGAGCACCGTTTTCTAAAATAGGTCGAATGGTGGTTAAGTAGACTTTAAGGATAAGTTTACTAGGTACTCCTGCTTTCCTTGATATTCGCAATGAGGCCTTCTTAAAAATATAATCGATGTGATAGTTCCACCTTAGATCGTTACTGAATGTACACTCCGAGGAGTTTATAGATGGGGACGCGATCCACAACGTTATTGTCAAGAATTATGGGTATGATTATGCATTAAATTAACTAACATTTCTTTTCAGTTTTTGGGGTTTAAACTCATATTGTGGTCACTAAAAAAATTGTAAATATCATTAGCCACCAGATTGAGTAGGCTGTAACAGGTTCCTAGCAAGACTTCGAGGTCTTCGAGAGCTGTGGTGTCATCAACAAATTTAATTCTCAATTTCCAATACTTCAGTAGCTTGTTAGTCATTACCTTAAACAGGATAGCACCAAGTTTTGTCCCCTGGGGGATGCCACCTTTGAGGAATTTCAAATCAGACAAAAAGTTCCCTATTCTTACAGCCTGCCTTCTGTCGGTCAAAAATGCCTTTATCCAGTTAACCAGCACGGGATCAATATTAAAGCTTGATAGTTCCTTCAAGAGGATTTTATGATCAATGAGTCGAATCCCTTGGAGTAGTCGGCAAAAATATCCTCGTGGCACATTCCTCCGTGTCTGTAGCCTGCGTAGCAAGCGTTTCCGTGCGGTTTAGGAGCAAAGAACGAGGAACGAGAGTCATAGTCTGCTACACGGCCGTTTTTAGTGTCGTCACGCAACGCTCCTCCCCACTAGTGGTTAGTGGGGAGGAGCGTTGCGTGACGACACTAAAATCGGCTGTGTAGCAGACTACGAGAGTCAAAGACCGCGCGAAAAATGGCGCAGGTAAAGAGCGGAGAGGGGATGGAGTAGAAAGGAAGGAAACGCTTGCAGAAAAAAAACCGCCCACTTGGCCTGACATCACTGAGCGCGCGCACCGACATTTGATGTTGTCAACAGCTATCATAATTGACCAATAAAATAATTGACCTTCATGGAACGAAAAAGAGGACACGTGTGTGAAACGAAAATAATTTTTCATGCATTTTGGAACGCGTTAATGGTGCACTCTCAGTGAATCCGAACGATCATTGCTTAATCAGCAATCTTGACGGAGTCACAATGCAGTTCTCCATAGTTGCAATC